TCGCATTTCACAATTCATGGCATAGTGTGTTTATTTGCGCTGATAATACATTCTCAGAATAAAGAATGATTTTAAATTATGTTGCTAGAGATCAATAAATCTTCAGGGAACAAAAGCCTTGTATGACTGGCCAGATAAATTGAAATGACTGTCCTTTAATGTAATATTCATTTCTGAGATGTAACAATCAGCTCAGCTAAACTGATATATTAGGTGAAAATTTATAGATGTTTTAGATGAATTCATACTGATTTGTTAGTCCTAATTGACAGACCATAACCCTTTTAAACGTCATATGGATCATACATTTAATTAGGATCGGTACAAGCAAATTAGATGGAGGAAATTACAAAATTACACCAACAAGAGTCTGGCATCTCCTCACTCCAGCTACAGAGAAAATACATGTAGTAGGCGCGGATCCAGGATTTTCCAAAAGGGGGGGGGGGGGGGGGGGGGAGAGGAAACTTGAAAATTGCGCAGACCGTTTTTTTCAACTCAACATACCAATACCGACAAGGTAATATTAGAAGCACCATACCGGTACCTACAAGCAGGCACAATTTTGGAAAGGGGGCAGGCTCACGTCACGTCTCTTGTCCGATATCAACATTCCCCTTTTTTAAGTTATACCGAATTTTTGACATTTTCATTGGGGGGGGGGATCATAAAAAAAAAAAAAAATCTTATTCGGGCAGCTCGCTGTCGCAGAAGCTTTGACGTTTCATTAAATTATTAGAGAAAGAAGACGATTCGTTGTACCATTCTCGACTCTTAATCCTTAATTGAATTCAGTTTTCCCCCTCCCGCGTGAAGCGGGGAAGCTTTGACGTTTCATTAAATTATTAGAGAAAGACGATTCTTTGTACCATTCTCGACTCTTAATCCTTGTCTGAATTTAGTTTCCCCCCTCCCGCGCGAAGTGCAGAAGCTTTGACCTTTAACCTTTCATTAATTATGAGAGAAAAAAAGATGATTCGTTGTTCCATTCTTGACTCTTAATCCTTGTTTGAATTCAGTTTTCCCCTCCCGCACGAAGCGTGGAAGCTTTGTCGTTTCATTAAATTATTAGAGAAAGAAGACAATTTGTTGTACCATTCTCGACTATTAATCCTTCATTGAATTCAGTTTTCCCCCTCCTGCGTGAAGCGTGGAAGCTTTGATGTTTCATTAAATTATTCGAGAAAGAAGACGATTCGTTGTACCATTCTCGACTTGTCAGAATTTTCAAAAATGTTTCTATATCTGCTCCTTGTTCTTCCTATGTCCTCCTACTGCCCCTACCGCCCCTGGCTACGCGCCTGCTTTAAAGGGAAAATGAAACAATCATGATTGTGATAGCACACAATTAGGTTACCGGTAGTAGAAATAGAGAAAAAAAGATATATTACACCAACCATGGATAAATAAACGGCCGGGAGCGTCATATCATAGTTTTGTGTTATTGGGCGACCAAGCGAGATTTCGCAATGTACATTGAATGCTGAATTCTAGAAAATCCTTAAGCCCACATTCTTTCCGCTATATTTCTAAATTTCCTGGGGGACGTGTCCCCCTCTCGGGCCCAGGATCGCCGCCCCTGTGCATGATTACTACCAACATGAGTACAAATACAAGCACAAGCGAGTTGGTATGAGCTGAAGCCAAATGAAGAGCAAAATAAGATTTGTGAAGCGGCCCCTTTACCGTTAGTTTAAACTGACTGTTGAGTATATAGCTTCTATTTAAAAGGCATCCAAAATATTGTGCCCTTTTCAAATTAGTGATGACCTTTGTAGCGCAGGGGCTGTTTTGAACGTATAACTTTGAATCCGCGGCTCGAGATTTTATGCGGCTGGCCCCTATTCAATAACGTTTCCCAAGCCTTCCGGAATGACCCCAAATCTCCTGATTACAGTTTTTCCCTTATTCGTCGTTACTGTAGCGCCATTTCCATGTCTTTCCCACTTTCTCACCCAAGTTTTCTCTCCCCCCCACCCCCGCCCCCAACCACTCAGTGTTATATATAGGGTACGCGCATGCATGTTCCCTCTCTTTAAAAGCACCTCTCTATCTCCGGTGTGTAAAGTCAGTACGGGCCGGATTTTTTTGTATTACGGGCTAGACTTTGTTGCGTGAAAAGTACTTCTTTACCAGAGATTTTGGGAACACAAATTCAGTATCTCCCACCCCGGAGGGAGGGAGGGTGGGGGGGGGGGGGATTTCTTCTTTTTTCTCTTTCTCTGTTTCTCTTCTTTTCTTTTCTTTTCTCTTCTCCTTTATTTTCTCTTCTCCTTTTTTTTTAACCTTTTCACCTTTCCCTTTTTTCTCTTTTCTTCCTCTTTTTTTCCTTCCATTTTTTTTGGCGCCGCCAATAGGGGGGCCGCGGCCGTTTCGGCCCCCCTGGATCCGCCACTGATGTAGGAGTACATTTATGATAGAATTTCCCTTTGCTTGTACCTCAATCAGCTGTAATGAACATCCCTCTAATTAAATAATGATTATGAAGTGGGAATGAGTGTTAAGAGAAATAGAGAGATCTACAAATGATGAAAATACAATAAAATTTACATCTGAATTCCCAGCTTTGTAGCATTTTTTAAAATTTATTATGGGGAGGCAAATGTTTTTTCTCTTATCATACATCCAGCTCTAGACGAGTAGCAATTTTGTTTAAGGATACTATTCCGGTCAAAGTTAATCAAAGTAGAATAGACAATGGTGGAAACTTAGTAGTTTTAGATGTGACATTATATGAGTATGACATTACACTGGCGTCTTTATATGGCCCGAACACTGATAATCCAACTTTTTATACTGATTTACAACGTACCATAACAGAGTTCGAAAATCCACATGTTGTTATTTGTGGAGACTGGAATTTAGTGCAGGATCAGACCATTGATACTCATAATTATGTTCATGTAAATAATCCTAGGGCGAGACAGCAGGTTAAAAATATGAAGGACGAATTAGATCTATGTGACCCATGGAGAATTAGATATCCTGTGAAAAAATATTACACGTGGCGCAAGCCAAACCCTTTTAAACAAAGTAGATTAGACTTCTTTTTTATATCATCAGAATTACTATCATTAGTTCATAAATCTGATATTTTATCTGGTTATCGAACAGATCACTCATTAGTTCGTCTTAGCTTGACTTTAAATAAAATTAAACGGGGTCCAGGAATTTGGAAATTTAATAATTCTCTATTAAAAGATGAAAATTTTGTGTCAAAATTATAAAAACTATAAAAGAGACAATTACATTATATGCAAAAGATGAGGTAGAGTTTGATGAAAACGATAACATAGTTGGAAATTGTGAACTTTCTATCAATGACCAATTATTTTTTGAAACTTTGATAATGCTATTGCGGGGTGAATCTATATATCCTATATGGCTCGTTCATTAAGAAACAAAACATCAGTCGGGAAAAGGAACTGGAAAGAAATATTGAAGTACTGGAACAAAGACTAGTGACATCGAATGATAAGACCGCATTACTAAAAGAATTAACCCTAATAAGGCCGGGGGGGGGGCCATTATGCCCCCCCCCTCCACGATTTTTCTGATTGTTCGAGAACGCATATGGATGGCGCCTCGCCGCTCGCTGACTTTTTTCTTTAGAGTCTTGCGCATCTTAAAAAAAAAAAAAAAATAATAATCGGACCTATAGTTACAAGGTCACGTGACCTTTTGTCTTTGCATGTCAGCCCGAAAATCACTAATTTTTGTGATTTGTGTACAAAACATATGGAAATGTCATTTTTCCTAAAAATAGATCAAACATTGGTTATTGGGTCTTGTTTAAAGTTTAGGTGGTTGTTTTGGGAGTCAAAATAGTTGAATTGTAGGAACAAATGAAAAAAGAAAAAAAAAACAATAACATAAATAAGTTAAAAAAACAATGAAATACATAAGAAATTATCAAAACAAAAGATAACATAAGGAATAAGCTGGCTCTTCCAATTTTTTTTTGTCGTATTATTGTTCCAAATGGTCTAATGAATGTATGTAGTGAAAAAGAATGCTTAAATATGAATAATATAGGATTTATGGGTAAAAATGTGATTTTATGACGTTATTTGCATAAATTACCATAAATATGCAAATTAGGGATTTTTTTCAAAAAATTGAAATTATCATATTGTTCTATACACTTCACTTGACATGCGTGCAAATTTTCGCGGAGATCGGCCGAATTACGGCCAAGATCTTAGGGGGGGGGCCATAATGGCCCCCCCCCCCCCGGCCGTAGTAAGACTTCAAATAGCCCGGCCTTATTAGGGTTAAGTGACAAAAAGTCACAACGTGAAACCTATCGCTTAAAAGTAAATGAAGGAATTATCATGAGATCTAGAATCAAATGGATGGAGCTAGGAGAAAGGTCATCAAAATATTTTTTAAACTTGGAAAAACAGAATAAAGTAAATAAAGAAATACGGCAATTGTCAACAGAAAATGGAGATGTTATTAGTGGACAAGATGGAATATCAAACAAAATCTTTAAATTTTATTCAAACTTATATAAGATGAAAGACACTGAAGAGGTAGATATAGGCACATTATTAAACTATCCAGATATTCCTAAGTTAACTCCAGAATTGTCCAATTTATTAGAAGGTCCTTTAAGTGAAAGTGAGGTTTGTTTAATGCTAAAAAGTATGAAAAATAATAAATCCCCTGGGCAAGATGGCTTCACCGTTGAATTTTTTCATTTATTTTGGCAATATCTTAAAACGTTCATGATCAGATCTTTGAACTTTGCTTATTTTACAGGAGAATTGTCGCAGTCACAAAAATTAGGAATAATCACTTTAATTCCTAATAGACCGCCGGGTGAGCCCCAAAATTCGTCAGTTTCGTGACCTCGGCTCGGCATCTACTTTTTTAATAGTGGATATTATTAAAGAATATATTTTGATATTATAGTCATAACTCGTCAATCGAAAAAAATGCATATATATAAGCTCAAAAAATGGAAAAAAAGGTGCCTAAAATCTTTCTTTTTTTCACGGAGGTTGTCCAATCACTGTGCATGTATCAAGTAAATGTTACAGCGCCTCAAGCTTTTTAGCCAATCACAGGCAGTGTTGTGCACGTACCACTGGCGCGCGCTATTTTGAGCTTCAGGTGTAGTAATCTGTCGTCAACAACTGAATGTTTCAGAGGAAAACACAGGTTTTTGCTGTATGCATACAATTTTGACTCACAGTAAGGTGATATCTTTCAGTGGGAAGAGTTACAGAAAATTCAAGGAGTGTGCAGATCTTTGGAAGGACGTCAGTTTTGGGTTTGAACTAGAAAACAAAATTGCTGCGATTGCGGTCAACTGCGACTTTGACTCGTTCGAGCTGCAGACAGAGCAGTACTCGCCCGGAGCCTCCGGCGGAGGAGTGTACCAGGCCAGGGAGGTGTTCGAACTGCAACAAGTTCAACAAAAAAGAGGTAGGCCTAAGTTAGATCTATATCTATCATTCTATGTCATTCCATTCCGAAGAAATGATAGTATTAACTATTTCAGCATGTTCAGAATAACTCTGATCCTTTTCTTCTTCTTCTTCTTCTTCTTCTTCTTCTTCTTCTTCTTTGAGATAATCTGCCTCCTTCAAATAATACTGAAGTGAAGATTCTTGCACTTATTACACCGGGGTTTCCCCCTACTCTTACTCTAAGTCTTATACGAATAGTGCAATGGGTTCTTAACGTGCCTCCATTTAACGTCCTATCGGAGGGACAGAGTGTTTTCCACTTGACATAACCTGCGTCTAACAAGGGAAGGGGCACGTTAACAGTAACGCACAACGCAGGCCTCGGTCATCCGCTGGGTGGGAGTCGAACCCGGGATCTTTGTCTAGATGTCATATGTCCATTTCCCGGCCCTAAACGTTACAACTAGAATCAAGAAAAAAGAGAGTCTAGATTAGAATATCTACCGGGTAATTTCTACTTCCTAAAAAAATGCTATGCTCTCGAAATTGAGGCCTAGCTGACTTGATCAAAGTGGTTGATCAAGTCAAATTGGATACTGGTCAGGCTTGATTCTATACTACATTAGTACAGATTAGTACATTAGTACATATCGATTACGGTATCGTCTGAGAACAGCGTACTGGTGGGGTTTTTTCGGGGGGGGGGGGGGAGGGGCCACTGTCCCCTTAAATTTCCACAATCAAAGTGTTTTTTTTTTGGTGTTTTTTTGCATGTTTGAAAAATTCTGCATGGTGAGGCCCACAGTCCCCGTCAATATTTGACACGTTTAAATTAATATGCCACTTGTGTTGGAGAATGAGCCTTGCCCTTGCCCTGGTGATCTTTTTTTTATTCATGATGAAAAATTTATTACAGTACCCTATGCCCTCCATGCTCTACACACACAAAAAAAACACTTCATAAAAATATGAGACACCTCCTTACGTTTTCTAATAAGCAGTTCTGAATAATTTCCACTGTTAGTGTCACTGATGTCCAGTCCGTTCAGTTGGAGACAGTAACCAGTCAGCACAGATATTTTTTTTTATTTGTATTTTGATGATAGTTATATGCTAGATTCGACTCATACTGTCGGTTTTGTAGTGATGAATACTTCAGTATGTCTGTCTCGTAGAACTATAGACTTATTCTTTTTAATAAATGATATTAAATGATCCTTTTATTTATTTTCAATAAAGGTATGTCCAACCAGGATACCATGCGGGCTGCTACAGGCACTTCTGCAACATTACAACAAACAAGTGAGCACAGATGACATCAAGGCAAAGAAGGAACAATATTTAACACATTGTATGTCACATTACTTGTAAATGTAAAGCCTTTTTTTGGAAATTCAATGTAAAGACCTTTATTGCGATGCTCTATTTTGCCAATATCCGCCAGATTCGATAAAGCAGATAACTTTTACTAAATGGCATTTGGACAAATGTATGAAATTACCTGCTGGAAATGTTAAAGAACATGATTTAGATATGTATATTAGACTGAAGAAGAATAGCAGAGGCTGCGACCCTGCCATCCATGAATATATAATTTTTTTTTATCTATAATGTATATTTTATGTGTATTTTTGCTAAAACATACATACATGTGATCGCTTGAAAGAATGTTTGTTATTGAAAATATTTCAATGTGAATTGACAATGTGCTGTATAACTGATGATGAATCATTTCTCTACATCAACCCAAAGAGCAGTATCCATGTAGTCAAGCAGGCTTACAATTTTATTGACCATGTATTTTGAGAATATGAGATAGTACTATGTCATATATTTGATGTGAAACCAGATTATAATTGGTCAAACATGCCTTTAATACAAACTTTGTTTTAAACTGTGATTTATTTTATTTAAAGATATGCCATTCCCTGAAATATATATTGAAGGGTATGACATAGAAAGAGATAGAGAGGTGGGAAAGAGTGAGGGGGGAGGGAATGGGAAAGAGAGAGCGGTTAAGGAAACAAAAGAAAGGGAGGGAATGGGATGAAGAGTGAGAGAGAGAGGGGGGGGGGGGTGAGGAAAGAGGAAGAAAGAGACGAAGAGAGAGAGAGGGGGAATGAGGAAAAATGGGTGGAGGGATGAGAGGGGATAAGGAGAGAAAGAGAGGGGGATTAGGAAAGAGAGAGAAAGGGAAGGAAAGAGGGGAAAGGGAAGGAATGAGGAGAGAGGGGAAAGAGGGAAAGTGGAATATTTTGAGTGCACTGCAGCTTTGCTCGATATCAATACAAGTCATTTTCCCATAGCATAATACACTGCTGTCTCAGACTGGACCCATGAGGGCGTTTGTCATATTTATTAAAAATTAATCTGGACATTATTAATTTGTGTGCAATTTTTTCTACTGACGAGTTGCAACATCATCTTCAGTATATTTTTCTACACATTAGAGGTTATTTTCAAGTAGATGCCGAGGATGGGTCACGAAACACAAAAACTAAGGCACTTTGAGGGTTCACCCGGCGGTCTATAAAGGAAACAAGCCTCAACATTTATTTATTAAAGAATTGGCGTCCTATTTCACTTTTAAATGTTATATACAAAATAGCATCTGGGTGCATAGCTAATCGATTAAAGCAAGTATTGCCCCACTTGATACATGAGAATCAAAAAGAATTTTTGAAAGGCCGTTTTATCTGAGAAAATATTTGTTTACTTTATGATATATTATTATATACCAAACTTAATGACATTCCAGGCATGTTGTTGATGATTGATTTTGAAAAGGTTATTCGAGATACTTAGGAATAGATTTTTTGATTAACTTAGTAGAGATGGTAAATCATAATTATACTGAAAAAATTAAAGATATAAAAGGCCAAATGTTTTCATGGTCTAAACGAACCTTAACTGTCCTCGGAAGAATAACTGTAGTCAAATCTTTGTTGGTGCCAAAGTTGAACTATTTATTGCTTTCACTTCCAGAACCGAATTCACAAATTATGAAAGATATAATTCGTTCTTTAGATGCATTTATATGGGGTAACAAACCTGATAAAATCAATAGAGAACAAATGTGTCAACTGTATAATAAAGGTGGGGTTAAGATGATTGATATTTACATTCATGCTAAATCCCTGAAAATATCATGGATTAGAAGATTTGTAACTGATTCTCAGATAGAAAGTTTCACTTTTCACATGTTCAATTCATTCTTGCCCCAAACCTATTTTTTTCACCTGTATATGGGCTCACATTATTTTAGAAAATTAGCAGACATGACTCCAAATCCATTTTGGAAAGAGGTCCTTTTCGCTTGGTCAGACTTGGTCGAACTTCTTATGACGACATTGCAAGTCAACCTCTCTAGAATAACCCCCACAATAAAATGAATGACAAAGTGGTATGTTTTGGGGCTTGGAATTTATGAGGAATACGTTTTGTGAACGACATCCTAAAAATAGATGTTTTTTTTTTTCTTCATATTTTGAGTTTCAGGGGAGATTTGACATACAAACAAATTTCCTCAAGTACTATGGTCTTTGTAATGCAATTCGGTCAGGTTTTAAAATGACTACACATGTAGCTCCTAGTAAGGCCTTAGAACCTATCATTCCCGAAGCTGTGCACCTTGTGGTGAAAACAAATGTTGGTTGTTCACATATTTATCAGTCTTTTCTAAAAAACAAAGTAAAAGAATGTAAAGCCCTTACAAAGTGGAAAAGTTTTTTAGATTTTCAAGATGTACTTTGGGGTCCGTACTGTCAAATTCCATTTCAGTCAACAATAGATATCAACATGGGGTGGTTTCAAATCAAGATTTTAAATAGAATATTATATATGAAGGACAGTTTGTTAAGATTTGGTGTAGTGGCTGACAAGAAGTGTACTTTTTGTAGTAACAATGATTAAACTATCATACATGTTTTTTGCTTCTGTAACTATTCTAATGAAGTATGGTCGAAGTTAGAGTTCTGGATATTTCGTAATACGGGGGAAAGGATCAAACTTACAAATCAAAATAAATTGTTTGGATTTTGCGGTAGCAATAATAATGCACTCAACTGTGTTCTGATGGTTGTAAGACAAGAAATATTTTCAGCTGAATTACGAAATCAACTACCATCATTTGATATAATTTTATCAGCTGTTAAACGTTATTATGAAATGGAAAAATATATATGACAACAAATCTCAGAGAGAATAAATTGAAAAAGAAATGGTTTCACTTTAGAAAATATTTTGAGAGTGTTGGAAATGTGCTAACATAAACATGATCATGTATTTTATGTTTGGTATTTTTTAATTATATATTTAAAGTACTAATTTTGTCATAAATGTTTGTTTTTATCTGCCGCAAAAGTTTTCGGCCGTGATGATTATTATCTGTGTCAAGCCATTATGTATGGAAATTATTTCTGTAATTATTTGTATATATGATATATGGATATACTGTATATGATGGAATTTGTTTTGAAAATAAAGAACCCTGTGGAAGGGGAAAAAAAAAAAAAAAAAATTTATGCACAACTCGAAACTTCAGTGTGTGGTCCAAGTATGTCATTTTTTAACTGGAGGGCATTTGAAGAGCAATCCTTATCAGGGGACATTTCTATTATGACTCTCTTCCAACTAATCTAATAGAAGAAGAAATTTCACAGATAGATTTTTTACCTTTACAAGAACACAACCTTATATTTACACCAAAATACCTGGATCTTGTGGGGAAGCTCTCTCTCTTCTGTGAGGAGTTGAGAAATCCAATCGAAACAAGAGATTGACTTGCAGTGTCTCAATTTGTCCAACTTTCAGTGAAACAGCAACAATGTCTGGCTGGTCGGTGAAGTCCAATTCAAAGGGTTCACAAATCCTGGCTCCACTCATTAGTTTTTCAAAGGAGACAACCTTTAAAAAAAGAAGATTTAATGGAGGTCATCAAAAGAGTAGGGAAATAAAACTTCTCTTTTATTTTTCCTATAGCAAAAATCTGTTGTGAAAGTGTCTATTTAATAGGCATTGTTGCCCTGAATTTAGCTCCAGCAACCATTATGAGCCACCAGAGCAGTTGAAAGAGTACTGGTAAATCCTACCATTCCAAATTTAGATTCAGATTATGATTATGTTACAGATCCATAAATTTCAACCATGCGGCATGCAAGATTGTTAACCTAAACTTAGAAACTAATACTCTCACACAACCCGTCTTAAAGCAGTAACATGGTTCTATTTCAATTGACCATAATTTTCAAAATACTGTTAATAAGTAATCATTGTCTATCATGAGTCCTTGGTAAAGTTTGCTCGTTGAGCAATCAGAAATCAGCTCAGAAAAAAATCTCTCGCTTTTAGGGGAGTGGTCATTTATTTATGCTGACCTTGCACTTTGGAACACCATCCCATCTCGAATGAAGGAAGCATCCACAAGTTATGAGTTTAAAACTCTCCTCAAAATACATGGATTCAACTATACTTTTCAGTTAACTAGAATCTATAAACACATTACTGAACTTACAGCAGGTCTTCCAATTACGGTCTCCTTTACGTTGCAGGTCATTTTGAGATCACCTTCTGCTGCCTTAATAAGGACCTGTTGTTCCATATGGGCAGGTACAAAATCTTCTTCCCCTTCTTGGAATTTTACCAACTATCACCAAAGAAAGGGAAATAATATATTAATTATTCAGGGTTGCATACATAAACCATATTCATATCATGAAATGAAATTTAATGAGAGTAAAACAGAGGTTGATTAACAGTTACTTCTAAGTCACAACATCATTTGATCAAGGACTGTAATGAAATTTAATGAGAGTAAAACAGAGGTTGATTATAGTTACTTCTAAGTCACAACATCATTTGATCAAGGACTGTAATTATATACAGTTTGGTAACTCCCGAATTCGGGCTGCTCCATCAGTTCCAAACATCGGTGTTATATTTGACGAGAAAGTGCATGAATGCCCAAGTGAAGAAGATCTGACAATCAGTGTATTATAACATCCATAAATAATGTTAACAGCATTTGAAAAGTCCTTGGCCATAAATCTGCTGCTAAATACATGTACATGCATTAGTTCTTATCTCGATTAGATATTGGCAATGCTCTTCTTTTTGATATTACTTCACACAATCTTGACAAACTTCAACATGCTCAGAATGTAGCTGCCAGGGTTTTATCAGGGACATCTAAATATGATCACATTTCTCCTGCTCTCAAAAAGCTGCACTGTTTGCCAATCCGCAAGCGCATAGAATTCAAAATCCGCCTTCTCCTCACATGTAAGGCTGTAAATGGATTGGCACCAAACTATTTACAAAACCTTGTTATGCCTTATACACCAGCTCATAGTCTTAGATCATCACACCAGCATGAGTTGTACAGGCATAGTTGATATTTAATGGAAAATTAACACATACAACATTTTGGGAAGTGCTTCATATCTGATATTTATCAGTATGAATTTTTTTCCTAAACGTGCAAAATCTGGTGGTTTTAGGGAAAAGAGCAGTTTTCTGCTATATACCACCATACTATTAAAGTAATTCTTTCAGTTTGAGCAAACTGATAGAAATTCACCTTGCCAATAATGGATATCTATAGCAGCGTATTTTAACCAGGAAGCTGCAAGACATCGCTTAGGGTGTTACAAGACAAATTTTGTTATATTACATACATATTTTAGAACAACATCAAGTTCATAAAATTAAAGTATCAGGAACTGTAAGATGTCCAAATATGTATCATCTTGTGTATTTTGATAAGGAAATAACATTTTAAAATAACAGAGTGTCCTTCAAACTTAAGAAGCAGGATGGTTTCAGGCAGCAAGGTACATGAATACTCCCATATTTGTGCGGCAAGTTGCCGGAATATTGTCATATTTGGGCAGCAAGGTGCCTAAATATGTTTTATCTAGTGTGATCTTTTAATAAAAAAATAAAACTTTTATCTCAGTAAAGAGTTTTAAAAATCTACCTTCATTTTCATATTATTTTGTTTTTATCATCAAAAAAACAAAACATATGGGCTTTTAACCTCAGAAAGGAAAATTTAGGCTGGAAAAAAACACCTTTTTGTTAGTATTACTCCATTTGTTCTTTTGTTAGCTCAGGCTAAGTCTCAAGTATGGGAGACTGTTTTTTAAGTGGGAGGGAGTCTCCAAATTATGATCCTGTGCCTCGGTCTACTGTACACCAACTGCAATGTCTAGTGAAAATGTTGTTAACAAAGTATTTTTAATGTTGATTAAGTAATGCTAACTCATATATTTATGGTATTTTCTGAAAATTGTGTATGAAACAGATGCTGATCTTCGCCACAACTGTTGACAGTTCAGTACATTTTGTCAGATTCCTCGACTTCCAAATCAACTGCTGCAACAGTAATTTACCTCGCTATTCCCTTTGATGTCGTCATAGAGGTGTGCATGTAGGATGACAGGTGTCTTCTGCAGAGCTAAGTTCTTTTCTTTAAACGGCCGACAGCACTTCCTCTTTTCTGGGAAGAAGATATCTCGGAACAACTTGACAATCTTGACAATCTTGACAATCATCCATGAAAAGTGATTCATCTTCAGTTTGAGTACATCTTTTGTGATTGTGCAGCTAGGTATTCCAGACCTCGACAACATAATTCGTTCTTTAACAACTGCATCTATAATAATAAACAATTTGGAAAAGAAGATTAAGAAAATGATGGACTCATTGATAAACATACATGCTTGTTAATGTAATTAATAACAAGCAAAGGCAAGACCTCTACATAGAGTCATTGTGGGTTCATTAAAATGAATTAGCAAAGTTAACCCTTGACATTGTTAACTCCGACATTGACACTTAACCCTTCAGACCAATCTCTCGATAAATGGGTCATCCTTATAAACTACCTAAACACAAAAGTTGGTCCCATTAAAAACTCTGTAACAGTTTTGGACTTAACATCGTTTTCAGAATACCGATTATGTTGGCTTATATACTTTACATGCTAACATAATTTCAGAATACTACCGCAGTTCAACAACAACTTTTTTTATTGCATTACTCCCAATTGTCACTACATAATTTTACGTTACATTTATGAAGTGTATCGGTGGCATAGAGTGGGTCCATACATCGAGGAGCAAAGGCATCACGGGGGAGGGGGGCACCTGTTGTATCGGTGGATAAAATGCAAATTAGCATGGGAACTAATGAGGGAATGGTAGGTGAGGTGGGGGAAAAGATAAATTGCCCTCTTGAATTTTTCTTTCTTTCCCTTTTCTTCTTTTTTTCACAATACATTCTTTGGACACTTTTCCTCCTGTAGCAACACGTTTGATTGGGATGTACTTCAAGAGAATGTCTTCTTTTTACATTTGTTTTCCCATACTCTTATGATTAATCTTTTTTGCATCTCATTTACATTTCAACTCATAACATCCATTCCCCTCTCCACCTTCGCAAATCACTCTTATTGCCATTGCCACACCTTGTTTCTTCCATTCCATTTCCACCTCATGTGCTAGTACATTTCCATTCCATTTCCACTTCACATTGTCCTATTGTTTAGTTTCCACTTTTATTCAGAACACCTCATGATCACCCTTCCATACTGCCTATTGGTTCTTCCTCCTCCCTGGGTTGTTCCATTATGTCTTCTTAGGCCTCCTTCAGTCTGTAAAGACCATGGGTGTGAATCCTAACTGTCTGTCCTGCTGGAACAGCACTGTCTGTAACTATACAGACCAATGCGTGAGTGGCAGTCTTTGTCGCACAAGTCGCACTTGTGGATTGTCTCTGTCCAGTGTGAGAAGCAGCGTTCTTTTCTGCGAGTCCGCGTCTCTTCCGCTGCACTCTTTAGTTGGTCTTCCCCTGCCTGCAGCGACACTGTCAGGGTACTTCTCCAGCTCGAGCGGTCGGTGGCGAGTCCCTCCCAATGTTCTGTGTTAACCTTCAGAGCCTTCAAGTCCCTCTTGACAACATCTCTGAAGCGCAGTTGAGGGTGACCAGTGTCTCTCTTGCCAGTTGCCAGTTGACCATAGAGGATGTCCTTGGGGATTCGGCCATCCTCCATACGATGGACATGGCCTAGCCAGCGGTGTCTGCATTGTCTGAGGAGGATAAACATGTTTGGAAGGCCGGCACGAGATAGGACTTCGGTGTTCGGCACTTTGTCCTTCCATGAGATTGCGAGTATGCAGCTAGCGGATACATCTCAAATGGAAGGCATTCAGTCTCATCTCTTGCTTGACGTAGGTCGTCCGTGACTCACTCCCGTACAGCAGTGTGCTGAGGACGCAGGCATTGTACACTGCCATCTTTATCTTGACAGAGAGTTTGGTGTTACCCCACACCCGTGTGGTGAGGTGAGCGAGTGTTGTTGCTGTCTTTCCTATTCTCTTGTTGAGCTCTGCGTCCAGGGAGAGGTTGCTGCAAACAGTGGACCCAAGGTACCTGAACTGGTTCACAGCTTCCAGCTCGTAGTCATCAATGGTGATGGATGGCGGCGCTTCTACACCCTATCCAAGGACGTTCATCTTCTTCAGATTGATAGTCAGCACAAAGTCCTTGCAGGCCTTGGAGAAACTGTCCATTAGGGTCTGGAGCTCCTGCTCCGTATGGGTTGGACATCAGCGTCATCCGCAAATAGCATGTCTCTAATCAGAACCTCCCTTACTTTTGTTTTGGCTTTGAGACGGGCAAGGTTGAACAGGCTGCCATCTGATCTAGTGTGTAGGTAGATCCCCTCTGTTGCTGAGCCGTAGGCATGCTTCAGGAGTAAGGCAAAGAAGATCCCAAAGAGAGTCAGAGCCTTGTTTGACGCCGCTGCATATGTCAAATGGCTGTGACGTGCTGCCGTTACATTGCAATGTCCCCTTCATGTCTGTATGGAAGGACTCAATGAGGCTCTGCAGCTTCGGGGGGCATCCTATCTTTGGAAGGATCTTGAATACGCCCGCTCTGCTGACCAGATCGAATGCCTTGGTGAGATTGATGAAAGCAAGGTATAGGGGCATGTTCTGTTCCCTGCATTTCTCCTGAAGCTGGCGAAAGGAGAAAATCATGTCTACCGTCGATCTCTTGCCGCGAAAGCCACACTGGGACTCTGGAATGACACGTTCGGCTAGTTTCTGTAGGCGAACTAGGATGGTACATGTGTAGACTTTGCCAACTGTGCTGAGGAGCGAGATGCCCCTGTGAGTGTAATTGTTGCAGTTGCTTCGCTCGCCCTTGTTCTTGTAGACGGTGATGATATTGGCGTCCTTCATATCCTGTGGTACAACACCTTCTTGCCAGCACAGAGGACCTCATGCAATGGGAGCAAAAGGGCAGTCTTTCAGTGTTTGATCAGGTCGGGTGATATTCCATCGCTGCCTGGCGCCTTTCCTGAAGTCAGACTGTCAATGGCCTTGCCGAGCTCAACCAGAGTTGATCCAACCAGAGCTCATCCATGGTCGGTAGACACTCAATGGCATCAAGGGCTGAAGTGGACACAGTGTTCTGTCTGGAGTAGGGGTCAAAGTAGTGTTCCACCCATCTCTCCATCTGCTGACTCTCGTCTGTGATTGCTTCCCCAGTGGAGGATTTAAGGGGTGCCGTCTTGCTCTGGACTGGTCCCAATGCTTTCTTGATGCCATCGTACATTCTTCTAATGTTCCCTGTGATGGCAGCAGTTTGAATTTCTTCGCTCAGTTGGATCCAGTATTCGTTGGCGCAGCGCCTGGCCATCTGCTTAGCTTTCCTTCTTGCAGCCGTGACAATCTAGAGATTTTTCTCAATGGGAGATTTCTTGTACTCCGCTGGGGCGGCGCGCTTGACTTTAATGATGGGAGTCAACTCGTTTGACTTGGCTTCAAACCAATCATGTGACTTTGAGGTTTTTCTTCCTAAAGGTGGCCAAAGCTGTGCGATGGATGGTGTTACGCAGCTCTTCCCACTTTTTTGTTGCAGATTCTTCATGCTGAAAGGCACTAAGTTCGTTCTCAAAGGCGGTGGCAAACAGTTCCACAAGATCAGGTTGGCGCATCCTGCTGGTGTCAATGCGTGCTTTTCCTTGTTGTCGGCACGGTGGAATTTCTTTGGCTGCATCTTGAATTTGCAACACACCAGTGAATGGTCTGTGTCACAGTCAGCACTCTGATAAGATCGGGTCAGTAGCACGTTCTTGAGAGAAGTGCGCCTTGTAAGGATCAAGTCCAGTTGGTGCCAGTGTTTAGAACGTGGATGTCTCCAGGAAACCTTGTGTTGGGGCTTGGTCTGGAAGTACGAGTTAGTGACGCACAGGGCGTGATAGGTGCAGAACTCGCTGCAGAGCGCTGTCCGTTTTCGTTCATTTTACCTACGCCAAACTGTCCAAGGCAGGATGGCCAAGAATTGTGATCAGCACCCACTCTGACGTTGAAGTCGCCCAGGAGAACTAGTTGTTCGGTTCCACCATCTTCAGCAAAGTGTTTTTCACTGCAAAGCCCACTCCATGCTCTCTGGGCTCGTCAGAGCCCTTTCCCTGCCAGTAGAACGTGTAGTCCTTCTCTCTCAGTGTGCCTATATCCACGTTCAGTCTCTTCAGTTCGTTATTAATGATTGCGGTCTTCCTGACGTCGCTGATGTCCATGAGGCTTTCAGCAAAGCCAGTCATCATGGTATCACCCAATGAGGAAGGCAGACTGTGACGGGACAGCACCTAACTGGCTGCCCAGCTTGAGGTGGGCGGTAGCTGTCCAGTGGGCTCCGAAGATCCCTCCCACCGTCAGGAGCAATCCCTGGCGCCAAGCTCTACGCTCGTCGAGCGACGGCTTATAACCGATAACTATTGCTCCCGTGTTGTGTCTGCGCCATAGGCGTAGCTGTAGTGCCCTCTCCAGCGTTGGACGGTAGGATTTAAGCCTGGGCAGGAAGATATGGAGGACAGGATGTTGCCCATGCAGCGTGTCCCCCCCTCCACGTCACTGATGAATCCAAAGGAACAGCAAGCTGTTACATTTGGCACCTGCAGGAACTGCCAGAATGAGGTTGGAGACAACGACGAACTGCCTTAGGGGCTCCAACTGGGTTACATTTTTACCAGTAGCAGGAGAGATTCCCCTGACCTGACATATTCCATTATGTACTTTGTACTATTCCATGTTTATGTTTCTGATTGGTTCTCTTTTTATGAATCACTCGTGTTTTTATATGTTAATATTGAGTAAGACAGTGCAACTCAAGATCTGATGTGGTCAAGATTTATTTATTTTCGTCTGGCATCGTTTAACAATGTTAAATCTGAGATGCACGGCCCTACGTGTTATCAGTGTCTGTGATATGGTGTAATATTGAAGCCCTAACAAAAAAAATAGCACTTCAAAATGATCAAGAAGTGCCACAAAAAAGTAAAAATCTTTGAGTGACCGGTTTTATCATACTCATTTGCCCCAATAGACTGTAGTGTTATGAAAACCGTTAAGCAAACCTGAAATTTGGTTTCGATTTCCAATCATAAAAAATCTTGATAATCAGACAGGCGGTCGGCTTGTAAAAATCATGGGGTAACTGACTGACCTAAATGTTTATAATTATCATTGCAGCATGAGCTAAATCCAGGATTTTGTTTCAGAATCTGAGACAAATTACCGGATCCCTACCATTGCCCCATAATGTGCGTACCTGTAAAGATGTATATGTACTTACCGGGTGAGTATTCTCCCTCTCCCGTGTACAAGACTGCCTCCACACTGGAGTATCGTGTAATCACAGCACAGTGAGGTATTGTGTAAGTCACCGGTAACTTAAGGACCAAGTCATCAGGGGCTAAACACTGTACACCAAAGCAGACTGATATCTCTTCTTTGTCGTTGCCAAGATTAGGAGTATCTGTCAGGACACGAAGAGAAATGTCCTGCGGGGCTTCGCTATCAATTGCACCAGGAGGGATCTCAAGTTCAATTCCGAAGGAATCTAGCTGAAGTATGGCACCTTCAACTCCAACTCTCTTACAAAATTCCATCTTGATTGGTTTGACGTTTACTACCTCTGGTACTGAAAATCACGAGAGATATTTCCAATAAAACCTTTGGCAAACTTAAACAATATAATACATAATTGTACTTCAACATTCTAGCAAAATATTAAATATAGATTAAAGAGCATCAATGAGCAATGTCACTCTGAAGTACCCTTTTCATGACAGGAATAAGTGTAAAAGAAGAATATTCTTTAATACAAATTTTAAATTTTTTATCTTTTAAAAGGCATCCTTATCAAATTTTCGTACTGTTGCACAGTTTAGACTCTACGTTGCGGAAATAAATACGAGTTAGATATACATTCTTTGGAATTTAGCAATTCACATGAATGATGTTATTTTTAAACTTAAAGGATTTAGAACAGTTAACTTTTACTGATCTTTCATGAATATTGTTGTAATACAATGAAATAATAGGATAACAGAAAAATATTTTAATCTTCCCAGACCTTGCCCTGTTTTTCTGCCTTTTGTCGAAGAATAAAAAACTTGCTTCTAGCTAGAACCATGCACAGTAGGCATATTTTCACTAAGACACATCTCTTTTGTGTTGTATACTTTGACAGAGATTACGAAATCCAGCGTCCACAGTTTTATATATGTATACATGAGCTTGTACTTCTCTTGATCTAATATGTCGTCGAATCATGAATACACTAAATATTAACCGTTAATAACTATTCAAATACATTATTCTTTGTTTAGTGTCTCTACCAGGCCTGTGAATGAAATAGACATGAAACAACAGATAGCACTAGAGAGACGCATTTATTTTATTTCCTTATTCTCTTAAAACGATTTCTGCTAATTATTCAAAACACCACATTAACCTGTTTCAGGGGGCAGGGTATCCATGGGATTGCAATCCTCTTCTTCTTCCTCAATGATCTGGGTGTCTGTCTGTTCTTCATGAACATGGACCCTTGATGTGGCTCCAACAAGCTCATCTGTAAAATACAATCAGTCAATAACAGACTCAGAATATAGATAATTCTCATTCAGGCTATACTAATATAATGGTTACAAATTCTTTTTTCTTATCAAACAAAAAGCAACTGAACAAGTACACACAATGCATGAACATGGAATCAGAAAATTCAGAACTGGTTTTATTATTGAATATAGAAATCTATGTACTGGTATCTACCTATTATTTGCTAGTTTCCCTAAACTATGCAGCCATCAACAACTAAAACGTCACAGCCATGCATGCCCCACCCAATACATTGCCTTCCCAGAGTTCACGTGCGCCACCTCACGCCCGCCAATTTCCTCTTAACGAGCCGCCAGAGACAATGCTATGGACATGTTGACGGGCAAGTGGAGGGGACTGAGCGAGGGACATAGGTAGATACATAGATTTATATAGTAAGTAATAACATCAGTTCTGATTTTTCTGATTAATAAATTAATGTATCTACCTATTATTTGCTATACCAGCACAGAAAAGACTGGGTGGCATGTCCCAAGTTGAAGGGGATTAATGGCAGACAAAGCCGCCTTAAGGGACAAAGTCGCGAACAGAACCTCCCAAGAAGAAACGTCCCTGAGACAAAAGAAGTGAAAGAAATGGGAGACCGCCAAAAGGCAGTCCCTAAAAGATCCTACAGACCAATACCTCGAAAAAGAGCCACGGAAATACTGAGGCTATCGTGGGCGCCACAGGGCCAGCAGCCCAGATGGCTCCGACAGTCCATCCGGAAATGGAACCTTGGACGCAGGGGAGAAAGGTTCCCAGGTAACGAAAAACCCTTGGTCTTGACCAAGTAACATTTAAATGCCCTCACCGGGCACCAGATTTAGTCCTCCTGGACCCAAGAGAAGTCAAAGAGAGGGTTGAAGAAAACCTTGCCTGGTCCGGAGGAAATCGAATGGCTCTCAGAAGGGCCTGGGTACAAGACCAATGCCCTGTATCTTCTACCAGATGAGGATAAGGCCAGGGGAGAACACAAGGCACAGAAAGTACTCCTCCTCTGCCCAAAAAGTGATGAGGAGCAGAGCCTTGACCGTCAAATGCAGGAGAAAAGAAAAACGCCTCTAAAACCTTAGGCAGGCTCCAAACCAGAGACAGCTAATTAGGGTTAGCTGGTCGTTGTAGAAAAAATGAAAACAGCAAGTCGGATAGGAAACAGGAGTTAGAAACTCCTGAGCCACCTGGAAACCCAACAAGAAAGGCGGCAATGGCCTCAGGGTTAGCTGGGGAATCGTGTCCGAGAGATAAGCCTGCGCAACAGTCCTCAAGGACTGGTCCACCGCAGGACTTAGCTCCACTGAGAACCGATCACAGATGGCCAACCCAACTGCGAGATAGAGTCCCAGAGAGGCACGCAAAAAACCATATTCCAGAGGGGAAGGATGAGTCCCGATCCAGCTACTCACTCCTCCCTCGGAGGGGTAGCAAGGGTAGTGGGAGAAGAGAGCCTAGCCACAACCAACGAGCAAAAAATGCGAGAAAGGCTAGCCACTATACAGAGTAATTGCCCGTTGGCCTTCCACCATGTGCTGTCGGCCCGTTGGTGGAGGTCGGAACTTCAGCTCCTGCTGCCCTTGTTGCTCCTCCAGGTAGGGAGTCAGCAGCTGCTTTGGGTGCCTTCCCTCAACCATGGGCATCAGTGCCTCTAGCTTGTCAGTCTGACTGGGGCTTTTTCTCGCGGTTGGCTTCGGCATCTGCAATAGGTTTTCAGTTGGGTTCATCCCTCAAAAGAAAAATTCCGGTCACACGTGAGCTTCTCGCACAAAGCTTTTTCAGACTCTGTGGCGGTGAGGCCTATAGCTAAATAAACAAGATTTAGCAAGGCTCTTATGCCGACTTCGTCACTCAACGCTTCGGCAAGAAGTACAAATAATTTAGCATTGACTAGTGACTCAGAGACCCCAACCTGACCTTCAAAATCAGCAACGTGGGGAACCTGGCCCCAATTGGGCGAGCACAACCATGATCTGGTAGTCTCCTCGCCTGGAGGGGCGCCAAGCGCCGCCATGAGGGGCAGCTCTTGCCAGGCGGCTCTGAGCTGCCGTAACGACCATAACAGGGTTCCAAACCAGTATGAGAAACAGGTCCGGAAACTGGAAGAAGAGATCCAAAAGTTCAGACACAATCCTGGCAAACTGGTAACAGATTAAACCGCAAGAAACCCGACGAACATGGACAGGGTTAAACCGGACCGGGGTCCTGGTCACCAGAGTCCGAGGAAGGCCCGTACCCCCGGCCGTCGGCTGAGAAGGTTGGGGGCTAAGCCCACCCTCTTTCCTCAGCAAATAGCTTACAGCATTTGAGAGGCTCAGCGTGAATGACCGCCGCGGAGAAAGGGTGGGTGTCTGATAGAGGCCGTACCCCTCCTCCCAGTCTTATAATGCATGCCCGAGGCAGACTTAGACTTATAAAGAGACATGGTCGAAAGATGCTTCAATCACCGGCAGAGAAGTCGGCACCTTGGCTTCACCCGATGGGTCGTGCTCAGCTCCCAAACACCAGTCTGAGACAACGGGAACCGGCCCCTTTGGACCTGTGGCTGCACAAGCACTAGCCGAGTCACGGAAGGGCTTTCAAATGATCTCTTATGGCTCGCAATTACGCGTGACGGGCGAAAGCGAGCCAGATCTCTGAATAAGAAATCCGGGGACCGGGTACAAAAATCGAATTGGCAACCCGTAACCAAGAACCAATCCGGCAAGCCCGGAACCGAGACCTGAACTGACAACCCGAATCCTGATCCGAAATCGAACCATCAGCCCGGGACAGGGCACGGTAAACCACTGGATCCGGATACAGATATGACATCCGCATCGGCAATCCGGGGGCGGACCGAACCGAATACCAGGTCAAACCAGGCTTTCGGACGGTCTCGTACTCCTTGCATGTGGGGCCCGCCAGCAGAGGAGTCGACATATCGGACAGGCCCTGTAGAGAAGGGTGGTCGTATATTTTGTATGTTCTGCTTGTCTTGTAACCACCCGTCTGTGACGCGAGAGAGCTGACTCCTGATTTCTCTTGGGGCCTGTAACCACCGGTCTGTGAGTTTTCAAGGACTGTATGAAGTGGAATCACTCTTGCACAGATCACTGGCTGGAGCTTTGCCAGTGATCGGGGCTTGAATGTCAGTGGTCGGAAATGCGACAACATTCTTACCCCGGGCCCGAGCCTCAGTGGTCGGAAATCCGACGATGCTCTTGCCTATATAGTGCGGCGGGGGCTCAGTAGTACTTTTTATGCCAAGCCTGACAGGAGCCGGGTCAACATGCAACACAGAAGTTGTCCAAGACTGAGCCGCTACCATTGGCCCCTAACTTACACACGCCCAGGAAGACAACACTCAAGCGAGACGTCGGCTTCCCACTCACACCCCTGGAAGCTTCCTTGTGGGAGGAGAGGTACTGGTACTAGGTTGAGACGAATCCATGACAAACCTAAACAAAAAGAAAATCCAAAGAAAGAAAACGAGAGCATAATAAACTCAGCGCTCACTTTATTTCCACAGACAAAACAATCTCAAATAAAATGTTTCACAAAATAACACTCAAACCAAAAGGCATGCACGAAAACAAATCCTAACAAAACAAGAGCAGACAAAGGACGCACAGGCAGCTAGCTGTGTCCAGCGAAGCAGCATGAGCTAAATTGGGATGCTAGGCGGATGAACAAATTATCTGCCTAGCTAAACGGAAAACCCCAACCAACTAACCCGAGAAAGAACGCCCAGCCTAGCGGCGGAAAACAAAGCCTGCAAAATGGTCGCGAAAGTAGGAAATGCATAGACATCAGAAAGTCATTGAAAATATCCAAGACAATAAATGAGGAAATAGCCAAACGCCGCCTGAAATGGTTTGGACATGTGGTACGTATGCCACAGGAACGCCTACCCATACAAGTCCACACCAATGACTTTACTTTGCCATGGCCACCAGGACGTCCTCCCCTGAAGTGGAAAGAACAAATCCGCCAAGACTCTGGATTAAGCCTGGAGGCTGCCCAACACCAAGCCCAGAACAGAAGTGAATGGAAGCAGACCACCTGTAAGAGCGTTAAGGGGACATTCCATCCTGTGCACTTAAGTCAAGTAAGTGAAGTATTCAAATACTTTATTCTTTGTTTCGTGTCTCTGCCATGCCTGTGAATGAAATGGACATGAAACAACAGATAGCACCAGAGAGACGCATTTATTTTCTTTCTTTATTCTCTAAAACAATTTCTGCTAATATCATTCAAAGCACAACATTAACCTGTTTCATGGGGCAGGGTTTCCATGGCAATGTAATCCTCTCCTTCCTCCTCCTTTTCTCCTTCTTCAGTGTTCTGGGTGGCCATCTGTTCTTCATGAATTTGGACCCTTGCTGTGGCTCCAACGAGCTCATCTGTAAGATGCAATCAGTAAATAAGGGACTCAGAATATAGACCCTTTCCATCGAGGTTACAAATTAATGGTTACAATTTTTTTCTTCTTATTACCGGTAAACAAAGAACAATTTAAAAAGTACACACATATAGTGATTTCAAGTACGGTGTTCGGTGTTGGTGTTGAGAGCGTGGAGAGGCTGCTAAACCGAGCTCCAACACCGACGGTCAGTTTAGAAGGACGATACCAATCGCACGTGCACGTTATCGATAGCTCCACACCAGCCTCAACACCGAGTGATGTCCTACTCTACAGGCGAAAAGTCTTGCGATAAAAGCATAATCCATTCAGAAATTCCAATAAATTACATCATATCAAATATCAAATGTAAAGTCATATTAGAAATTCAAAAGATAAAACGTGCTTTCTCTTGAAAATAGCTCACATGATGTCCGCATAGTTACCTGCGCGTTATATGTGGTATACTGCAACGCCAAACTTGAAATCATGAATTTCCCAATCCCTAGGGGCTGGTGTTGGTGAATGGGAATATTACACGTAAATCGTCAACACCGACCACAATGATGTTCTCACAACACCAACACCGAACTTGAAATCACTCAATGCATCTGCACGGAATATTTTAGCAATTGACATGAATGTTATTTTCAACTATAAGCACAATTTCCTTTAACCGATATAATAATAATAATAATAATAATCTTTTAAAGTCCACTCAAAATTGTATTAAGTTAAACCGAAAATGGAAAATGATTGTTTCCAAGAAATAAGACCCTTTCCAAGGTGTTGCCTAGATCACCGCGAGAGCAATGTTACTATAAAAGGGGTCAGCGGTATTTGTCAGATTCGCTCCTGCACTGCACCCCCATATTCATGGGGCGGGCAGAGAGGTTGCATGTCTCTCTAAGCTTTACGGGTTACATTAGGTAAGAAGATTATTCTTTTGACAAGTTTGATAATCATTGAGATAATTAGTATTTTTGTAGATCGATGTATTCTGATGTTAGATTATAACCTTGGTATCGTTCTGAATGATAAGTTGTGGTGAATTAATATGCATTGTGTAAGGTATGGCATATCTGTTTAATCATCAGTAGGTTGATTTCATTAGTGAGTTTTAAGCACTTGATTCTGGTTTGGTAATAGTAATTTGAGATGATTTGAATGTTACTGTGTTATATTACTTGTAATCTTTACGAGTTTTAGTTATAATGTGTTGTTGAGGTTAACTCTGGATAATAATATTTTGCAAAACAGTTGTAAAGTAAAGATTTAATATTTTGCGGTCATATAGTCATTAAATCGTTTTTCAATATTGTGTTTTAGAGTAAAATTCACAATGATTTGTATAAATTATTATTCCTTTAGGTGTAATTGACAATCAACATGTAAGAAGGAGGGTACAATAAGAGGAAACGGTCTTCTAGGCTAGATTGCCAGGGTGAGTGGTTATCATATATAAACCACTAATTCAAAGTAGTTTTAATAAGAAATGTTGTTTGATTGTTTGATAAAGTTCACTTGATGGTCGTATTCATTTTTATTTTATTTTATTTATTTATTTATTTATTTATTTATTTTTTTTTTTGGGGGGGGGGGGGGGGAAGAGTTATCCATAACAATGGAAGGACTTTATTTGTGATCATGGTTATTTTCATGCAATCTTCATTAAGTTTTAATGAAAGGAATATAAACAACCTGTTTATCACTTATTGTCATGAGTCGGCTTGACGTCATATTGTTAGAATTTGTATCTTGGAGTCATAAACAAATATTACGTTTATTGCTAATTTGTGTTTTTCAAACGTGTTCTCATTGCTAAGTAATTGTTTTAACTTTGTTTACTTATTCACGTTTATTTTGCCTTGTAACTTGCATAGGACACCAAACGAACCACAACACAAGGTATGGTGTGGTGTGTCATATGTACCAGTTTTTGCGTGTTACACACATTATAATATAAAGTCTCTATGCGCTTCCAAAGAGCTTTGGAAATTATTACCCTAGCTTTATAGCTCTTGCAGGCGTTATCAGCTCACGGTCCGCATTCAAGGAATAATCCTACCAGGTACCCATTTACCTCACCTGGGGCGAGTGTGTCAAATGTAGATTAAAAATAGAGGTCCTGCCAAAGGACATCAGTGCCCTGACGGGACTCGAACCGCAGACCTTGTGATCCATAGTCCGGTGACATATCCACTCGATCACGACACTCCTACATAATGGTCATATTACAAAATAAACCTGTTTCATGGAGCAGGCTTTCCATGGCAATTTTATTTCTTCTGTCTTAGTGTACTAGGTGTATGTCTGTTCTTCATGAACTTGCCCCCTAAGCTTGCTGTGGCTCTAACAATATTCAGTCAATAACAGACTCAGAATATGCATCTAGATCATTTTCATTGAGGCTACTTATTCAAAAATGATGATTACAAATTCTATTTTCTTCTGGAAACTTATGAAAAGAACAATTTACAAAGTACACACGGTGCATTTGCATGTAATATTGAATTTTTACTCTGCATGCGATATTTTTATTTCAAATGTTGGTTTTGCTAAAAACATCTTGAGATTTTATGAATTAACCATTGTATTTTCTATAAATATTTCAAAATTATGTCGGCGTTTATATCCCAACTAAAGGCTCATGATTCCACATATTCAACGGTTTATTGCGGGGGCTTTTTTTTTAGTGTATTCACCTACTGGATTTCCAGACAAATTGGTTATCTGGACAGAAAATGAAACACTTTTTTCTTTCAATATTTTACGATTCATTTTTAACATATGTTGACAATATTCTAAATGAGAAATTATGCACAGAACTATGGGACATTTAGGCTTGCCTTTTGTAAATTCAATAAAAATGCAATGCATGGCTTCATCTTCTTTAAGTGTCTGAACATGACCCCCTCCTGAAAAATGAGGCTACTAATTATGTCAAGTGTGGATGAAACAGTAGCTGGGTGCAATTAGGGCCCTATAAACAATCATTTATCTATGTGTTCGAGGCGCAAAACTGTGCAGCGCAGGTAAAAGGAACAGATATGGTTAACGGCTGCAGCATATGCCCTTCTATATGTGAACATGCCTTTAATTATTAAGCTCTTTTAGTACAAACATACATGTATAATCTGAATAATTTTAACTCACCTATTAAAGGCATCGACGTACCCTGATTAGAGTCTTCATGTGATGCCTTACTGTCATGTGCAACTGTGACCTTTGTGTTAGGGTAGATCTCTGAAAGTTTGTGGATGTCAGTTTGAGACAGTGGGTTTTCCACATTTAAGAACTTGAGTTCTTGAAGGGAACTCTCTTCCCCTGTGCCCTGTGGATGACTGATTAGCTGAGGAAAGTCAACCTTGCACCTGTCAAATGTCAGGACAGTTAGTCCTTCAAGTTCATTGGACACAAGATGCATTAGGTCAGCCATGGGTACAGCTGCTGATGCACCTTCAAGTTGTAGCTCACAACCTGAAGATGTTTGGGACCACTTAACAGAGGCAAGTTCTGCACCTCCTAGATGCACCTTCTCTGCCTCAACAAGCTTCAAACGTGGACTTGTCACATGAACTACATGAAGTACATTCGTTAATGCTGCAAATCGGCAGCAATCATCCGTCCCAATTACTTCAAGATGGATGTTGGTCAGATGTGGCAATTTGTATGATTTAATGTCTATGCCTGACTTGTTCAATAGAAATCTTCCAAAGCCTGATAACACCAGTGATACGATATGTGGACAGGAGGTAGAAATATCCATAAACAGGCTGTCTGCTGTAGTTACATCATCTGAAACCCTGTCCGTCCATCTTAATTTAAGCTCCCTCAAGGACGATGATGAATTGACCCCGGAAATGTATTCTTTACTGGATAGATTTAGATTCATCACTTGCAGATCTAGACTCTCTGCCTTTGGAAAACATTTATTGATCTCCAATAGTGTCTCTTGGAGTTTTCCATCACAATCCACAGACTTAATGCAAAGTGTGAGGATGGATTTCATAGGCATATCAAGCTTAGGTACCGGAGTAATTAGACTTACAGATACATAGACACGAATGGAATTAATGGAGAAGTGTTTGACTGCCGGACACAAGGAAGCCAGTATGGAGATGAGATCTGAGAGGTTCACAACTTGCATATCCCTTAGTTCAAGGTGAGTCTCATCATCGGTGCTCATCCACTCGACTACATGTACCTTCAGTCTAGCATCACCCCTCAACACAGTGTCCTGCCCAGATTTCCCGCCTGAATAAACAAAAATATGGATTGACAATAATGATTATAATATTGATAATAATAATAACAATCATCATCATGATAGTAAACAAATTTACCATGCACTGAGAGACTCTAGCCCCAAAGAAAATAATGCTATTTCTGTTACCGAGGAACCTATAATTTCAATAGTGGCTTGAAATAGTGCACAGTATATTTGTTTTATATTTTTCAAACCAACCTTCATAAAAGTAATAATAATAATGATAATAATGATTTCTGTCACTGAGGAATCCACAAATACAAGACCGAAAGCTGGTGCTATACAAGTTATTCAGTAGTGAAATGCAGTTACTGCGGCTGGTGTAAATTGCGGGAGTTGGCCACTGGAGGCATTTAAAATCATGTACGCTCCATGAATGCATGCACAGTAGTGGCTTATGGAAGAAAATATATTTGACGCCATCCATGGTATAATGCACTAAACCATTAAAAAAAAAAAATTGTAAACCTTATTGGGAGAATGGGACAAATACCTTCATGGTCATAGAGTATATCTTTTTAATGGAGATTTGTTTCGCCTTCAATTTCCTGGTTAATAGTTTGCTGTCCAAAACTTTTCTTAGATTTTTTTAAGTTGAAATTCATTGATTATAAATATGGTCAAACTTCATATCAATGCAAAGGTCATATTGTCTTTGTACCAATTCCAGCGTCCAAAAAGGCAAACAGAACACAGAAGTTGCAAATAGAAAGATGATGAACACCCATCCCGGTAAACGCCCGATTGGGGTCCCGAATCAACGATACCGAGTGACGTCACTATTTGGAGCACTACGATTATGATCGCAAAAGACTTGAGCGCTTGCATGCAAAACACATCGCTGTGCTCCTTCAAGACTGCGTGTCCATTAAACTACGTCACAAATATAGGAAGTGTCTTTTCACTACCGCCAATTTCCGGGTTCTAAAATCTGAGAGGTGTTTCTAAAATGTGTTTTAGATTGATTTCCATATGATATCTAATGAATATCATGGTCTTCTACATGCTTCCCGCTATCCATTGCTATTCAATTCATTATTTTTGCAACATTCAATGAATATCAACTTTAAAGCCATAACAATTCACAGTACATGCAATGCTTTTTCAAGGGTTTTAACTTGTGTTGCTACAACAGTCCAACACTATGATTTTTGCATCATTTTTTTCTATAAAAACATCAAAGTAAGCCATATTTAGACTTTGAATCTCATCTGATATCTTTTTCTTACATACCTTCTCTTCTATGCATAAGTCCAGGGCTCTCATTCACAATCAGTCTTCGGGTGTGAAGTAGAACACTTTCTAATTCCTTCGTATATGAGATATATGAAATATATTAAATGTAATAGTGAAACATGAAAAGGTCTCATAAGATATTTCTTAATCTAAAAATAGCCTATACTCAGAAATAGTGAAACAAAAAAACATCCATGATGTGAATTTACATTATATTAAATTATAACAAAGTTATTTGGTCAACTTTCTGTCCGATTATTCCAAGGCAAATGAACTAGAACAGCATTTTTCAACCAGGGTGCAAGAATAATGGGGCTCATATCTATACTTAAATGACCAAAAAGGCATTAAGATGTTAATGGAAGGCCTAGGTGCCCGCGGTATATAATTTGTTATCTATGAATCTCCTCGATGGGTTTAGCACATTATATAGCATATGATGATTTAATATTTTAGTTAGTAAAAATACATGATTTTTTTCTTCACAAATGCATTTCCTATTGGGCTGTTATGAATAACTTCAGAGCTCCGAGGGGCCCTTCAGATGCCCCCAAATGATGTAATATTGGTTGACTTGACAATTTTCTGTAGTATAACACTTCTAAATGTCTACAAAAAGAAAATCATCTTAATATATTCTGACGCTCTTAAATTGTATGCTACAATTGTGGGTACCTGCAACATATTTGGTCATCAAAATCGTATACCATAAAAGTCATTGTCATATAATGCTCAGAACTTCAGACACCAATAAATCCATCGATTAAAGTCAATCTGCAGTATAGGGTTATGGATACTTTCAGATGATTTTCCAACTTGAATGATTGTATAATCAATTCTGCTTTTCTTCTATAAACCAAACCAAAAGAGTTCATATCAAAGATTTCATTAAATCTTGGTTATACCCTATAACCCTGGTACACTATCAAAATGGATAAAACTTGTGGAAAGAGGAAAATAGCATTGAGAAACAAATCAAAATCATTGTGTTTTCTTCTTTGCAGGTGTTTTAAAATGCCTTATAGTCTAGATATAGACAGAAACAAATCTTCTTTCATAGCAAATACACGGACTGGAAGCAATGGATTGAATAGCTGGAACGTATATATATACCTCGAGTGGTGTCATTGGCATTGCTGTACTGTGGCGGATTCAGACAATTCTGGGGCAGACATCTGAAAAGAGTTATAGAGAGATTGAAGAGCAATTATAAAGCATGAAATCCAAACAGGCCATTGTAACCCCAAACGGTGTTGTTTCAGGCTTTCCCCAAAGGGGTACCCAAAGTGTCATTAATAAAACAACTCCCAACTGAATCCAATATAATCATTTTCATCTTGGTTCTTTTTAAACTTCATATTTCTGGAAACGAAATAGCATTCAGAATTCTGAAAATAAAAAGCGTTAATAAATTCAGAAAAAGTAAAAGGATCAATAATTTTGAAGCTACTTTATCCCCCAAAATGAAATGTTACCCTGAAGGAATATTCAGAAATGTGAACCACTGATATGGAAATTATTTGTTTTGGAATTATGAACCTAAAGTAAAAAAAAACCTTTAGCAACACAAGTAACCGCAATATAATATGATTGCAGGGCCCTCAGGGAGAACAGTATGAATACTGATGAGGCTACCCTGGGTAAACAAGACATATTATTATTATTATTATTATTATCTAGAAGTATTTTGTCGGGTATCAAGCAAAGGTACCTAAAAGGAGATCATTGATTTCAATGGGGGAGACTGATTTTTCTGACCGTGCGGATTACACAAGCTGTTTGCCCTCTTTAATTATATAGCTTTCACAGCTAGTTTATTAAAAGTCATTCAATTTTTTTTTACCATACTTCTGGCAATGAAGTACCCTGCCTGTTCATATAGAACTAGATGAATCTTTGACTGGGCGTAGTCGAAAATGATGCTTCCGCCATTTAGCAATTTTCCAAACCAAAACAGAAGCAATTTGTAAAACTCAAGTTGGATTGTAATTCATTATAGGTTCTCAGAATATCCTAATTACAAGCTATTTTTCATATACATGTATGACCCTTCGATCTTTGATCTCATTACCCTAACATCTAATCACTTCAATGGCTCTGCAAGATACATACAAGTCCTGAGTTTGATAGTAATCCGTCCATCAGTTCTTAAAATAACGCGACCACAAGCTATTTTTGCATACATAATGAGCCCTATGACCTTTGAACTTTGACCTTGTGATCCCAAAATCTAATCAGTTCATTGGCCCTGCCAGATACATACATGAATCAAGTTAGGCGGGAATCCATCAACCGGCCCTTGAGATAACGTGATCCGACAACGAGATGTACAGATGGATGGACAACTCAAAAACATAATGCTTCCGGCTACTTTGTAGTGGAGCGGAGGCATAAAAAGGTCTTGATGGGTATAAACTTTAACAAAAAAATTGAAGTACACAAGTATCCCACTAGACAATCAGATCAATTTCATCCATCACTGCTCAAAAGACTTTTATATATACCGGACCACAGCTATGGAACTCATTATATGATAATATTAAATTAGCTCCTACTATTTTTCATTTAACAACATGTACACAGAAAACAGCTTTTGGAAAATAATAACAAAAATTAAAAAAAGATAAACCTATTAGTAAGATAAGACCAAAACATTAATGTGTAATATCCACGTCCTTCATGCTTCATCTTCCATTTCTCTATCTTTCTTTCTCTCTCTCTTCTCTGCCAGAGAAAGGTTATCATTTGTTATTATTATTTCCATTATCTGTAAATTGTTTGTGTATACACCTATGCTACAGACAACCTTTTTGTTTTAAAGCGTGGGGGGGGGGGGTGTAGGAGAATTACCTAAGCATTTGTATACATATATTTTCTAAATATATTACAGAGCACTTGTAACTTTTTTTTATTCTCAAGGGGTCTATAAAATACAAGCCATGCTTTTTTAATGGACTCCTCCACTATGTTTTACCACTGTGCCAATCTTAAATGAGTAATTGTTTAATCATTTGTAAAATGGTTTATATTATGTTATTGAATTTGTATATTGCTTTTTCAATTGATTATGTTCTATCATGTGGAAAAATAAAGAAACCTTGATACCTTGAAACTTGGACCCGAAGTAAGAATAAGAAATCCAAATCTCAAGCACACTAACCTGTTTTTTACCAGCAAGTCTTTTAGATGATTCAAAAGGCCTTTTGAGACCTTTCCGCTGAAATTGAAAAGAAATAAGAGCATCTAAAGATTGTAATTAAATGTATATACCTTCCTTTCAAATGTATTCACAATTAAGTAGGTAGAAGAAGATAAGCATTTATTTCAATTGGTAGATAACTTCGCTTCTCATAATGTTTTACCACTGTGCCAATCTTAAATGAGTAATTGTTTAATCATTTGTAAAATGGTTTATATTATGTTATTGAATTTGTATATTGCTTTTTCAATTGATTATGTTCTATCATGTGGAAAAATAAAGAAACCTTGAAACTTGGACCCGAAGTAAGAATTAGAAATCCAAATCTCAAGCACACTAACCTGTTTTTTACCAGCAAGTCTTTTAGATGATTCAAAAGGCCTTTTGAGACCTTTCCGCTGAAATTGAAAAGAAATAAGAGCATCTAAAGATTGTAATTAAATGTATATACCTTCCTTTCAAATGTATTCACAATTAAGTAGGTAGAAGAAGATAAGCATTTATTTAAATTGGTAGATAACTTAGCTTCTCATAATGTTTTACCACTGTGCCAATCTTAAATGAGTAATTGTTTAATCATTTGTAAAATGGCTTATATTATGTTATTGAATTTGTATATTGCTTTTTCAATTGATTATGTTCTATCATGTGGAAAAATAAAGAAACCTTGAAACCTTGAAACTTGGACCCGAAGTAAGAATTAGAAATCCAAATCTCAAGCACACTAACCTGTTTTTTACCAGCAAGACTTTTAGATGATTCAAAAGGCCTTTTGAGACCTTTCCGCTGAAATTGAAAAGAAATTAGAGCATCTAAAGATTGTAATGAAATGTATATACCTTCCTTTCAAATTTATTCACAATTAAGTAGGTAGAAGAAGATAAGCATTTATTTCAATTGGTAGATAACTTTGCTTCTCATAATGTCTCAAAAATGTATTGTACACACAAAATATGGTTTGAGCATAACATAAAGACACCTAATAAATCTATCAATTCCATTCAATCTGCAGTATAGGGTTATAGATACTTTCAGATGCTTGTCAAACGTTTAAGGTTGTATAATCAATCCTGCTTTTCTTCTATAAACCAAACCAAAAGATTTGATATAAAAGATTTCATTAAATGTTAGTTATACCCTACAACACTTGTAAATTATTGAAATGAATAAAGATTTGAATAGAGGGAAAAAAGCATTGAGAAACAAATACAAATCATTTTTGTTCTTCTTTGCATGTGTTTTGAAATGCATTTATAAAGCATGTAATCCAAACAAGACATTGTGGCCCACAGGGTATCGTTTCAGGTGTTCTCCCAAGGGGATACCCAAAGTGTCATGAATACAACAACTCCAACTGAACCCAATTAAATTTTGGTTAAACCCTACAACACTTGTAAAGTATTAAAATGAATAAAAACTTGTCAAAAGAAGGAAAAAAGCATTGAGAAACAAATAAAATATAATTTTTGCTCTTCTTTGCATGTCTTTTAAAAATGCCTTATAGTTCAGATATAGGATGAAACAAATCTGCTTTCATAGTTAATACATGGACTGGAAGCAATGGATTGAATAGCTAGAACTAATGTATATAAACCTTAAGTGGTATCTGTGGACTTGTTGTGGCGGATGCAGACAACTTGGGGTGGACATCTGAAAAGAGTTGAAGAGAGATTTAAAAGCATTAATAAAACATGTAATCCAAACAAGACACTGTGCCCCAAAGGGTGTTGTTTCAGGTTTTCCCCAAAGGGGATACCCAAAGTGTCATGTATACAACAACTCCAACTGAACCCGATATAATCAGTTTCATTTTGGTTCTTTTTAATGTTTATATTTCCGGAAACGTTTTTTTTTTTTTTTATTAAATAAATAAA